CCCTGGTATTGAGCATCTTATCTCAGAAATGTTGCAAACTCTCACAAATAAGCTCTTTTTCCTGGATCTATAGGACCTGCAGCTGCACATGGAGAAGAGATGCCTGTTGGCAGCTGGGATGCACCATGAGAGTCACTACCAGCCTCATCCAGGGCCCTGCATGTGCACCAGCTGTGGCAGCACAAAACCCAGGACCAGACCTAGCTGCTGGACCAGCTGATCATGGTGGATAGGGAGAGGGACCAGCAGAGGGACCAGGCAGACCAGGAGCTCAGGGACAGGCCCTGGAGGAGAAGCACCTGGAGGCCCAGGAGCAGCAGACTGCCCTGGTGACCAAAGCAGTGGAGGTGACAGAGGAGGACCACCAGGTGCGGGACACCATCTTGGCCCTGGCAGCTGCCTATATACTGCCTGCTTCCCTTCCCCTGGCTGTAGCCATGCCTGCCCCCTGGCAGCTGCCCTCCACCCAGAAGCAGGCCCCCCTGTGGGCCTGGGCTGAGGTGCAATGGCAACTCCACTGGCCAGGTGCCCCTGCCCCAGCTCCTGCCCCGGGCCCCGCATGAGTCAGGTCCCTCACCTGGGTCCAGGCATGCCACTCACCCCAGCTCCATGTGGCCCTGGAGCAGAAGCTGTCTGCAGTAGGGCCAAGATCATGGATGGGCCCTGCTGGCCTGGCCCACTGGCTACAGTTGGGGGAGATGCAAAGCAATGGCTGCCATTGCCCTTGGGTGAGCTCCCCACCTTCTGGCTTTGCCACAGTGTGTGCAACCAGGGGATATGATCAGAGGTCAGGGTGCTGAGCACCTGTCCCTGGGATACACCTCCTAGGCACCCCTGCCCCACTGCCCCCCATCCCAGCAGGGTGCACACAGAACATACTGTAAATAGTCTGCACAAGGAAGAGGCTGCTTTATTGGTGGTGGTTGGTGGAGAGGCTCTGTGGGGAAGGAGGGAGTGGGAGATGGGGTCTATTGTGGGGAAGGGAGCGGGGAAGGATTCTGTTGTTGTGGATGGGGGGTGGTCTGCATTTGTAGAGTGTAGCAGGCAAACTAAGTTATTCTAAGGCCTTTTAGCAATAATCCAGGCCTTCCCAGAACTAAGCAATAAAATTGAACACAGCTCTTTTTGTGACTGGGAGATGCAAGTGCTATAATTGGTGTGCTAGGTGAGCCAGGAACAACAGTTTCCATATAAGGAATATTTGGCACAGAGCCAGGGGATTGGACAATTTGGGACAAAAAAGTTACAAAAGTAATGAACAAGCAAAAGCAAATCTGTGTGTAGCATGCTGTGATTCTGGGAGGTCAGATGCAGCTGCTGCATCCCTGCTTGAACAGTGGGGAAACCAACAGCTAACATCTCACACACCCAGCAGAGGACCTGAGGCCTACTACCCCAAAGGTCACTGCTGTAACGTTTAAGGAGCCACTTGCCAGGTCATATTATGGGGAGGAAACCTGTAATATTGTCTAGGGGTTACTATGAAAGTTCACTTGAGACCTCATTGAATGAGTTGCCATGTCAACCCTTGGGGGTTCTGGCCAAAAAAAATCCAATTGATAACATAGAGGGGAATAAAGTGCTTTTCTAAGAACTGTCCTCAGTGAGCATGGTGCTGGAGGGTGTGTGGTGGAGCTGGGGTCTGGGGCCAACCATCCAGATGGCCTCTGTGCAGCCACCAGTCCTGGCTGGCTGGACAGGCCCACAGGTGGCAGAATTAGAGGCCCAGGAGTGCATGGACAGTAGCAGTGGTGGGATCCAAGAGTGCATTGTTGCCATCCCTGTGGGGTCTGGGCAGCAGCATGGAATCCAGGCAGCAGCAATGCAGTGCCAGGGGGCCTGGGATGGTGCGGTGATCCTGGACAGGTAGCCACACCGTGTGGGGGGGGCGCCAGAGCCAAGACTGACCTGGGCTAACCTGACTGACCTGAGCAGAGTGGTCAACAGGAGCCCAGGATATTGGACATCACAACCAGGGCCTGGGGGTTGAGTAGCCATGGTGAGGTGGACAGAGGCTCTAGCAACAGAGCCACAGCATGCTGCCATAACTCTCTGCAGCCTGCTCCAGGCCTAGGGAAGACAGGTGGCCAAGGAGCAGGGAGTGGGGCTGGCTTTTACTCTAGAGTAAACCCACCCCATAGCATTGCACAACATAGGCACAACTGGTCTCAGGACAAATGCAACATCTGTTCATAGGCTCAATGAATGCCACAATAAAGTGTCAGGTGAGCTTGAAGAGAGGTGCTCATACATAGCTATTCTATCCAGTTCATAGATATAGATTGTACCACTTCAAAAGTAGGGGTGGGCAGCTGCAAGTAGATCTTTCCCCTTCATGTTTGATGGCCTGAAAACTAGGGCTGTGCAAAGCTTCAGTCCCTGATTTGATTTCGCAGAGATTTGGCGGCCAAATCTCTGAATCCAAATCAAATCAAAGGACCCTTTAATCTCTCTGAATCAAGTCAGAACCCTCCAAATTGATTTGGACAGATTCAGAGAGATGCAGTGATTTGGACATAGATACAGCTTTAAAGGTTTTGTCTACATACCTCTAGGTAGCAGGGGCTCTGAACACTGCAGTGCTGGGGCGCATGGAGTATCCCACAGAAGCATGGGGGGCTCCACAGCACGCTCGGCAGCAGACCCGGAAGTGGACCAGAAGCACTTCCAGGTCAACTGTGGAGCATGCTGGCCCCACCCCACCCCCCACACCTCCTTGGCTCGGCAACTGGTGCCTCCTGGGTCTGGGAGGGCACCTGGGGTTCTGCTGTAGCCAATCACTGGGCTGGGGGGGGCGTGTGGGGGGGTGCCCCAGTGTGTTCCTCAGCAGACCCAGAAATGAATCGGAAGTACTTCTGGTCCACTTCCGGATTCACTGCCGAGCATGCTAGAGAGCCCCCTGTGCTGCTGTGGGACGCTCCATGCGCCCCAGCACCACAGCGATCACGAGCTGTGCTGCTACCTCAAGGTATGTAGAAAAAAACATTTAAAGCTGTGCCTGTGTCCGAATCACTGATTCGCCAAATCAGCATCGAATTGTCTGATTCGGATTCAGCCACATCGATCAGGGACAGTGATCTGAATCAACAGATCAAATCACTGTCCCGAATTCAGGCCATATCCGAATCCCAATTGAATAGGGTCTGTTTTGCACACCCCTACTGAACACTGCCTACTTTGTGGCTGCTCACTGTAAAACTAATCTGACAATGAATTTGAAGGCAATGCAGGCAAGATGCACTGAGCTACCCTAGGGAATCCTGGAAGCAGGGAAATCTGTGAAAGCTAGGTTTAGCAGGTGCCCTGATATTCCAGGTCTTTGCCAGTATGCCCCTGCTTTCATTCTAGTAGTGCCCTGACCACTTTAATGTGCTGTCTTTGGATTTTTATGGCTAACTCACTACCATGGCTGCAAAATCCCTTGGATAGATGAATCCATCTTTCTTTCTCTCCCTGCATGCATTTTTCTGCTAGATTATTGTATTGCACTGCTTCTCTTCAAATGAGACAGAGTGAACGCTGTACTTGAAACCTTCAGGAATCACCTATTGGAGCTAACACAGCAGCAGCAATCTTTTCCTTTCCTGTGAGCTGCACAAATGAGTCTCAGATCATTTGTGTGGAGCTGAATCAAAGAGAGAGGGAAATTATTTGCATACATCTGTGGAAAGAAAGGGGTAGAAGAGGACCAGTTATGTAGTGACACACTCGGTGTTTGTACACGTCACATTTTTTGCTCTTTCTTGCACTCCAATGGCATGGCCATGAGCGGGTTTTCTGGACACTTTGCAAGTCTTTCCAGTGCATTAAAGTAAAACTCCTCAGATGTAGTTTATTTTGGCTAGCCATGAATTAAAGTGCTATGTCCACGGATTCGTTATTTGCAAACACTCAAAGACATGTAATGAGCCCCTTTGTCCACGAGATGGCACAGAGACTTTTTTGTAGTTCACCCCTTTGTCCACCAGATGTCACTTCGAATTGCAGCTGCCCCATTCCGATAAATAGGTGTAATGTGTTTCCCCAAACGCCACGTGTAGCATGGCAGATGCAGTGGTCCACCCAGCCCAGCATGCATCAATGTGCAGTCTCCTGTATGGATACCCTGCAGGTACTATAGATCCAGGTTTGTTTGTTTTTTTTGTGCTGGCTGCTGCACCATTCGTGATTGCACAAAGTTACTCAGCTCCCCATTTAGACTTATGGCAGCAGGTGAGATACCATTATAGCAGCTGGTGCCTGCCCACTCCTAGCACTGAGTGCAGCCAGCCCATAGCCACCATGGTCCCTTGCACTGCCACGTCAGTCACAATTGCACAGTCTTACCCCATCCTGCTAGCCCTAACTCTGATGGAATCCCTGGCCCTGGCAGTGCCCATCACTCCCAACCTGCAAACCCGCTCCCGCCCTTGCAATGTGCCATGCTGTTGTCAGTTGGGGATTCACTGGGTTTTCCAGTATTGGTTAAATGACCTTCCCTGTTGTTTCAAACAACTGTTTATTTGCAAGTGAGGACAGTAGACACATTGAAAGAAATGGAGACAGATAATTCTCTTTTACTTCATTAACCTGTACTGATTCATTCACTCTAACTTACATAAATAACAACCCAACTTTTATTTAATTTTCAAGGTAAACAATTTGCCAGAAGCAGTAAGCACTCTAGCTTAGTAAACAAAGTTACATTTGGGGAAAAGCGAGTAGTGAGGGAGCCCCAGGGCCATTGCGGGGAGAGAGCAAAGGGCGCAGGCAGACAGATCTACACCCGCAGGCCCCCACCCCCCCCATGGAACCAAGTGACACATTTGGGGAAAAGTGAGCAGGGAGGGCACCCTATGGCCAGTGGGGCAGAGGCAGCAGGCAGGCAGACAGGCCTATACCAACTGCCCCCTCATCATTCAACCAACTGACACCGTTACATGTAGGGAACACGTTAACATTTATCGGCCTTTACGCGCAAGCAGCCAGGGCACCCCATGGCCAGTGGGGCAGAGAGCAGAAGCAGCAGGCAAGCAAACAGACCTACACTCACCATGTAACCAACTGACACAGTTACGTGTGGAAGAACAATCAGGAGACAAAAACTAGATTTATCAGCCTTTATCATACATCCACGGTGCATGGGTTTTCTGGAAGGCAATGATAGGACCGCTGCAAGTGAATACTGACATGCTTCAACCACACTGTGCAGGTGCTGCTCAGGCTTCATACATGGCCTGCTTTTCTTTGTCAGCAGTGGTGGTGTATCAATCAGAGCTGAAAACAGAAAAGAAGGAATAGCAGCGGGGGAGTGTCTTACACGTCCCGGCTAGCTGTCTTCCTCTATCTCTGGTCTGCTGTCTTCTCTCCTCAACCTCAGACATCTTGGATCAATATGCGGTACCCATCCCCCACACACTGTGCCCTCAATTTATAGGGCTTCTGTTCAGTGAGTCAGGAAAAATTCACTCCTCCCC